ATAAATGTGCACAAAATCAGCATACCCTGTTCTAGCCCATTTGCACTGAGCTCCACGTATAAAAAGAGTTTCATCTGGTTCGTCAGAAAACGCTGCAATGCCGTTAACAACAACACATTTTGAGTCATTTGGCTGTGCGAGCACAAAGCAAAGAGAAAGAGGGGAACAAAATGAAAAAGAAGGTTTATTTCCGTTGACGTGCCTTTATTTCAGCCAGTTGTGAATTCATTTTTGGCCAGAGCTGCTTTTGCTTTGAGGCCAGCGCTGTTGCCGGCTTGCTGGATGGCTTTTCGCGGCGCTATGATTGCGCCTACACAAACAGCTCTGGGTGTGCTCTGAGCTTCGATTGAATAGCTAGAGTTGAGCTAGCAGCTGGATAGATGTGGCTTTGAACATATAGAGCTTAGCACTAACATGAACATGAACATGTGGCTTAACATTTACAAGGTAGTTAAACAGCAGAAGAATTGATTGTTTAGAAAAGAGGCCTTACATATTATTTTTCTAGAATTGTTTTGAGTAAGCACTTAGAAAGGGATGGCTAGACTTGAAAGTATAGAGTTTGTGCTTTGAAAGTATAGAGTTTAGCTTTAACATGAACATTATCACGGAGTTTAACACTTACAAGGTAGTTGTACAAAATAGGAATTGATTGTAAAGAAAAGAGGCTGAACATATTTATAGAATAGTTTTGAGTAAGCACTAAGAAAGTGTATTTAAACTTTTCTATAAATTAAATAGTATATATACACGCTTTTAATGCGTGGGAGACGCGACTGCTGAGAAGAATGTTAATGTGAAACTGGCTGCGGATTGGCCTGTTGGCGTCTTTGGTGTGCAGCTCTTGCGTCTCTTGATGTTGGCTTGATTAGCGAGCGTGTGCTAAAAAAGCAGAACCTGAGATCGCAAACAAGTTGGCTGCCAATGCCGTCTAGACGCCAGGCAAATGCATATGCGATTAGCACATCTCGCCTGGGCGCTGAGTCAGCAGCCAGGATCAACGAAGGCCAAGGCAGCAGGAGATCAGCTCCAGCTCAAGGGCGTGGTCGCTGCGTCTGTTGATTTTGGCCTAGACCACAATCAAATTTCAGCTGCTGTTGCTGTTGTTGTCAATGCATTTGATGCATAATTAGCTGGCCAGCGACATTGACGACCTGACCAAAACACAAGCAGCCACAGCCGCAGCAGCGACAGCGGAAATTAAACGCACTGAAACGTTTCGAACATTACATTTGGCCATTTGTTTTTGTGTTGTTCTTGTTGTTGTTGTTGTCGTTGTGGCCAGTTGGCGTGACAAAAAGGGCGTTGCAGGCAGTGCAGCTAGCCTAGCTTGTTTCCCGTCAAAACTGGCTCTCATTACAAAGTGAAGGTTAAGTTTTCCAAGCAGCAACAATTCTGGCTTTTTTCCTTAAACGCCTTTTGCCTTTTTCCGTTAACTTACTTATTGTCACAATAAGCCTTTGGCTCGACTGGCCAGCCTTGCCTGAGCGAATCTCACTCAAAACAAGGCTTCAAGTTGCATTGTAAAACTACCATAGCACCAAGCTTACCATCTGCTTGCTCTAAGATTATGCCGCGTTTTTTGCCTTAAAGTTAAAAGACAGGAAATTTACAAAATTTCAAACCTTACTAACTTCACAAGCTTGTCAAATCTGGCTTTAAGTAAAGCAAGCAACATAAAATGCCAGCTGTACAGCTTTTAACCAAGTTCTTGTGGATTAGCACACAGAATTTGGGCTAACATGAGCATTGCCATGGACATAATATTTACAAGGCACATCAAATATAGAACATTTGCGTTTTCTACTCTATCAAATGTATATTTCACATTTCTGCATAAACATTTTCAACATATAAATATTCATCAAAGAAGAAAAAAAAAATAATAATTTTTTAAGTAAAGTATATAAATTATACATAGCTTAAACAAGCAAAAGGGCAGTACACAGCTTTTCAACGCTGATGAATTGTTTTGATAGCTATAATTTAGCTACTTTTCTAGCTTTTTTTGTCTGCCTGCTGCTTTAAAGCTAGGCGACCAGCTTGCAGGAGTCGGGCGCTGAGCTGCATTTCAAAATGTTTGAGGTGAGCGGCCGCTTTGCAGAGGATGTTGCTGCCTTTTAAACAACTACGCAGCAAAGCACAACACATAATTGTTGTTGTTGTTATTGTTGTTGTTCTTTGTGATTTATTTTGACCACGTACATATGCAAAACGCATTCTAATGGAACAGCAGCAACAACAACAGCAACAACAGCTCTGGCCATGTTTGGCCATTGCGCATTGTAATTTTGTAGTTACGCTCTGATTTTTGAGTTTCATTTGTAGCTTCACCTGCTGCCGCGTATTGTGCTTATTGTTATTGTTATTGTTATTATTATTATTATTATTGTTGTTGTTGTTGTTGTTGCTGTTGTTGTAGCCGCTTGCACGCTTGCCTGCTGAGCTGCGGCGCGTTGTAGAGTAAAAAATAAAAAAAAAAAAGATGTTGCATTGTTTCGCTTTCGGTTTGTTTCCACAAAACGGAAATGCCGCTTTTGTTGAACGGAAATGCAAATGATATTGTAGACATTACCGGAGAATTGTGCGAGAATTGCTGTTGGTTTTGTATTACCCAACTGTGGCAACTAGCCACAGCCTATCAATTACAAAGTGTACGCTCATAAATGTATCTGCATCTAAAGTAGTTCAGAGAACCTTGCCAAAGTGTCTTCTAACTTGGAGACGGGCGTTGGCTGCTACAATTCATTCTGCTCTTACCTACAGCAAACTGCATTTCATTAGGCCAAAAAGCCGTAGGCTGCCCTACGCCCTTGCAGACAGGCAGCCAGGCAACCAGACAGACAGACAGCAGCAGGAGGCGTCCAGGAAGTACACAGATGCCCAAGCCCGATGTCGCCAGAGTTTGCCGAGGCGTTCAGATCAAGCTGCAGAAAGTCAAGACGCCCACGTCTAGCTGATCTTTGTTGCTGCTGCTGGGCGTGGGCGTGGGCGTGGTGCCAGAGCTAGCTGAATATATAAAACATGCTGCTGCTATAAATATGTATATCTGTGACAAAACTAGAAATTTATGCCAACTCGACGGGCGTTTCCTATCATGAAAGTTATCAGTTTTGCCAGCAACAAATAATATTATGAATACAGAATATAGCGCTGCCTATTCTAGGCTCCGGATGCTTCTCGGGAATTTTAAGTCCAATCCTGGAAGTTTCTACTTCTTTGGACTGGTGGAGCGGATATGGATGTCCATCGATAGTCGGTATCCATAAGAGATGTGAGAGGTATATCACTCCAAAATCAGACTCTATTTACCCGAGATATTTCACTTGTCAAAAACTTTAAATAGCCATATATATATCTGACCCAAAACGACCAAAAGGCAAGAGGTTACATCACGTTTTTTCTCAAAATCGAGCTCGGTTCGAAAATTAAAACTTTTTTGATGATTTCTTTTGAAATGTCTCGGGTAAATATTGTCTGATCTGAAAATATTATACCCTTATAACTTCGTATTGGCTTAAAAAAGTAATTGACCGAAAAACTTGCGGAGTTCTATAGAATCGATTGCCATCAAAGTTTCCGAAACGACAAGTCTTAGAATGCAGATTTTTGGACGCCAATCGATAGTTGGCATCCGTACGAGTAGAATAAGGTATATCATTCCGTAATGTTTTTTCCCGAGATATTTTAATTTGAAATTTGTATGAAAGACTTAAAGACTTATCTCAGCCAAATGAAGACCGTTCGTGATCGCGAAATCATACCTTATTTACCCGAGATATTTAAGTATTTCAGTTATTTAAATATCAAAGTCCCGTTTCCCAAGAGTAATATCGTTTGAGCTACTGCGGATTTTGTAGTTTTCAGCAAAATCAGCCACGCTTGCCTACGAAACAGAAGACGGTTCCTAGTTGACCCCAATATCTTTGGTCATATACCACAGATATAGTCCTGGTGAATCTAAATCCCCAAAGCACTAAGCCTTGCAGAATGCGCAAGGATATGGTCCACAATATGTATGAATGCCCCTTTTTCATGCCCTTGACCCATGACCTGATGCCCCTGAAAGTCTAATTTTTTTCAGATTTTTGAAGGACTTTTGTCCTTTTTATTGCATATTCCGAATCAGCAGGAAGAGGACTTACTTTTGGCCAAGGCAATACTCCTTAAAGCGGCCCAGTTAGGCGTTAAATAACGTTATGATTAACAATTTCTTTTGAAAATAACGTTCATTTTTGTTCGACGGTTGAGGGACTCATTTGAAATCAAATTTGAATTTAACGGCCCAATATGCCCCTTAAGGGTATGCAAAGAAAATTTTCAGTCGCTGATTTTTATTTTGTATCCACCTACTTGCTGATTCTGTTCGCCTGGTATTTCAGCTGGGATTTTTATGAAAAATGACCCGTCCAACAGCACCCAAAGGGTGCGTTTTCGGGTATGCTACACATGTCGCTACATAATCGCGCCATGATCAACGGCGGAGTTATGTCGTTTTGAAGCGACATATCTCCTTGCGGACGTATAAAGTTTTTAGAGCGGCAGAGTTATGTCGTTTTGAAGCGATTTTTATGGGCGGCCTAAAAGTATGCAGTAGAAGAGCTACTCTAATAGGATCCGCGGTTGATCATGGCGAAATTATGTCGTTTTGAAACGTCATATCTCCAGGCGGACGTAAGAAGTTTTTAGAGCGGCGGAGATTATGTCGTTTTGAAACGACATATCTCCAGGCGGACGTATGAAGTTTTTAGGGCGGCGGAGATTATGTCGTTTTGAAACGACATATCTCCAGGCGGACGTATGAAGTTTTTAGAGCGGCGGAGGTTATGTCGTTTTAAAACGACATAATTTCGCCATGATTGTGGGGACTGTATTTTCCCGAGATATTTCAATTTTTCGAAAACTTTAAATGGCCATATCTCAGTAAATTATAGCTCGATACAGAATATGCCCTTTTTTCATGCCCCTGACCCATGACCTGATGCCCCTGAAAGTCTCCATTTTTTCAGCTTTTTGACGGACTTTCGTCCTCTTTATTGTATATTCCAAATCAGCAGGACGAGGACTTACTTTTGTCCAAGCCACATCACAATAGTCCTTAAAGCGGCCTAGTAAGGTGTTAAATAACGTTAATGTTTACAACTCTTGTATAATATATATGCACAAAGTATTTTCTTAAACATTGCTGACAAATAAGAATGCCTAGAACTAATACCTGAAATGAAACTGTGCACAATTGTCAACAGTTCCAATTGTGATTGCAAATTCATTGAATTTGGAACGGGATTTCTTAAACTAAGACTTAAGTAGTTCCGCTTGAAGAGATTTGAATCATGCTGGCTTTCTAAAACGAATTGGGACTCCGTATGGGCGATAAAGTGCTCAGCTTGCAGGTGACATCCAAATTGGGCAGGTTCTGTGTGTTGCGGCAATACCGACTCCAGCCCTTCCAATATTTGAAGCCGTCGCGCTGTTGTATGGTCTTGGCGCAGGCAATATCATCCGAAATATCATCGTTGGAGAGATCTGAAAAGCATTTGAATATCAATTAAAATAGAATATAATAAATTAAGTTCTACAAGCGAAATATCTCGGAGTTATATCGCATTTGAACGACATAAGAGAAATTATGTTGCCTACCTTCACATTTCATGTTGCACAGTCCACCCCGGCGTCCCTCGGCACAGTAGTCCCTGCTGTTGATTTGGAATAGTCCATAGTTCTTGCTATTGTTCTCTTTGCTCGTCACCTTGTTCGTATCCAAGGAGCTCTCATGCTCCACCAGGCAGATCCCTAAAGAGTTTAGCATTATTATAATTTCCCAAACTTCGAAGATGGATAAAAAAATACTTACAATTGGACATGAGCGTCTTTTGGAATCTGTAGGTCTCCACCAGCACACGGGTCAGCTCGCAGCGCATATACTTCTTGGACTCCACACCCTTTGCACCCATCATCATCAGCAGGCAGAGGAGCAGCAGTGCAGCTGTCATCCGAACATTTTCACGCGACATTTCTGTCAGCAATCGCGTTGTGTTGACATTCGGTACATGAAAACAAATAAATGTTAGTGTATGTGGGCTTGCGTGTATTTAAATGTAGATTATATTCATTGGTTCCAGGAATGGGCACTCGATTTCTACCCCGCTAAATGCGCCTAATTAAATATGGGCATACATTGCTGTGTCTACACACGAATAGGTCAAAGGTTCAACAGGCTGGGCTGGGTGCATCAATATACGGACGGGAAAACTTCAAGCATGCATTTCTCGGGCATATTATGTGCGATTTTCAAAAGGGGAGCCTCGATTGCCCTTAAAATCGAGCTTCATTTAGACGGGCTATCATTCCTAAGAACATTCTTCTAGAGATTCGTCTGTTTATCATAACATAAAAGGCCATTTAGAGTTCGTAGTTTTCTGTTTTGTCTCAGACACAAATTTGTGCTAAGGTTGATAATCCAGCGGAAAGACAGCTGCCCGGCTGCCATGGCATTTATGATGTGCCATTTATTAGCACTTTGAAGCTTATTAATAAGAATAATAATCTTTTAACTCATTGTTTGAAGCACAATATCTATTGATTTAACCAGAAAGTTACCAAAAAGTCGCGGCTAAGCAAACAAAGCAGCAACAAAAGAAAACCTGTCTGTTAGCTGCGGATAATCCAGCGAGGAGATACGTTTTCTATGCGAAAGTCTTGTCATTGTGATTAAAACGAAATGTATATAGGCATACACTAAAGATGAGATAACTAGCAAAAGCAATAAAGTTTTCTACTATAAACATTTTTGCCTAAACGTTTCTCTGAATATGTCGCATAATAAAATTGTTAATGATCTGTAACTAATTTATTTATTTTATGGCACCGCCACTGGCAATAGCCCAAGATATAGCAAATCTTTCTTTTCAATCTGAAAAAGGGCGTACAAATATCGGGAATTGATAGCTCTTGGAATTAAATATATAAACTTATACTCAGGCCGGGAGTAAAAACCGGGCCTATTATGGAGAAACAACTTCCAAGAAACAAACTGATCGGGGCTAAAAAGCTGTTGCTATCTGATAAAAGATATATATTTTGGAACACTTGGAATCGTATATTTCAACTCATTTTAAGACTGTGCTATTGTGGGACTACAATCCGATCGGGCCTTAACAGCTGCTGATATTTGCAAATAGATATATACCAAGTAAAAGGTTCTAGTCGGGAGCTCCCGACTAGGGGATACCCTTAACCCTCTTCTTCCATTATCAAATGCATATATATATTCCCTTTTAGAAGCTATATGTCAAGTTTGGTGACTCTAGCTCTTATTATTTACCAAAATTGCCCAAAAAACAGGATATCGATATCGATTCTTATCAATTGCTTGGCAACAGACTAAGGTATCGATTATCGGTCTAGGTCCTATAGGTGCTGAGATCCTTGCGTTCATACATACGGACAGACGGACAGACGGACATGGTTAGATCGACTCGGCTATTGATGCTGATCAAGAATATATATACTTTATGGGGTCGGAGATGCTTCCTTCTGCCTGTTACATACATTTGGATTTTGCACAAATACAATATACCCTTATACCCATTTTGAATGGGTGCAGGGTATAAATATATATATATATATATATATATATATATATATATATATATATATATATATATATATATATATATAGAACTCTAGGAATATGGCACGACAAGCCGAATGGCTTATTAAAGCAAAACAATTGCCAAATACTTTGTATTCAATAGACGCACAATCTTTTTTTTTTTTGGCTAAAAAGCGCTGCTTGACTTAATTACGAAGCAATTACAATGTTTACCTTTGTTAATTAACTGAACACTGTGGGGCAGACGCGACGCGGCAATAAAGAAAAAAAAAAAACTAGTTTCAACACGATTCCGACTGCGGATACGAAATGCGACTGCGGATCTGTTCTTTTGTATTCGAGTATTCGAGTTTTCGAGAGGCTTTATAGTTTGAGCTGGCGCTTCGCATGTGCGGCGCTGCGGGCCCCCACACAGATACTAAATGAATATATATATAACAAACAATGCAAATAATTTAAAAGTATTCTTGCCAAAACAAAAAACTCTCATTCAATGGAAACTTGCGCTCAACGTGCCGCCTATTTATGCGGCTGCTCTCTGCGCTCTTCGCTCTCGAAATGAATAAAATACAAATTAACTGTCTCTGTACTCGCCACTAAATACGTATTAAAATAATGTAGTTGTTGTTGCGATTTAGTGATAAGCCGAGACTTATATATATGTATATATCTAAATCAGACCCTGCCCGAGCTACTTGTTTGTTGGGGAAAGCAGTTTATTTGGGCTTGGCGCATTTCGCAATTTATCTGAACACCTTCTGTATTTGCTCACACTTATCAGCAGTTGCTCAAAACTTTATCAATTGATCAAATTTGGTTATCTCAAGAAATGCTTGCGGTGAGCACGACTGCGAGATACTCTGTATAATTTACGGCTTTGCCTGACTCTCTCCAACAAACCCAACGATCACCAAGATTTATCGAACTTATTTACTCGAAAACAGTTGCCCAATCCCTCAAAATCGATAAATATCGATAAGTGTTAAAATGTAACTAGGACTAAAAGCGTTTCTTACAGTGAGTTCTCTTTTAGTTTAGTTAAAATTTTACTTTGATATCACCTAACCGGAATACCACTAAAATTAAGGGGTATATATTCATGCTTTTTAGTATGCAGACACAATTAAACAACTTCTAGAAACTAAAGCAGACTGAGTTTACCAAATTTTGCTAACTATTCAGATATTCTAGATAGAAAGCGTGACAAATTGGAAAAACTTCATATATGTAGATGCAAGCGAATATACCCTTTACCTTTAGCTTTATTTGCAAACACGGCATAGTAGGCGGAATCGGCAGAGGAATGTTTAAATAACAAATTGAAAAGCTGCATTTTGTGTTGTTTTTGTTGTTTTTTTCCCCCGTCTTACTGATAAGGGCAATTCTTGGAAAAACGTAATCTTGAAGCAATATGAACCCAATATGTCTATTATATAATTGAATGAACCAATGAATCGAGCGAAACTTAAACCTAACAGCTAGCATATATGTTTAGAACTAAGAAGCTGAACTCGGCTCCTCCAAAATGCCAGAGGCGCCATTTCGATGGGTGGAGGGGGGGGGGAGAGAGTAGAGGGGTGATCTTAGCAGCGGGAGACATCGGGCAGCGTACGGCCGCGACATTTGCTCATCCAGCCGGGCCAGGCCTGGAAGCCGTGACGATTGAAGATCTGCATGGCACAGCGCGAATCATCGGAGATTTCATCGTTCAGGAACTCTGTCGAGGAATTGGATTTTGGGCTACATTTTGGCGAAAATAAACGGGCTAAAGCTAGGGTTTACCTTCGCATTTGATGTTGCAGATGCCACCGCGACGGCCCTTGCGACACCAGTTCTTGCTGTTAATCTGTTGATGGGCTGGTTGGAGTAATCAATGGCAACAGACGCTGGCCAAATGACGTGGCACCTACCTGAAAGAGTCCGTAGCTGACGCTCTGATTGGGCAGCTGCATGGACTTCGAGGTGCTGCGACCGCTCTCCGACTCGACCAGGCAGACCCCTGCGGCAAATGGTTAGGGGTTTTAAGCATTCGACTGGCTGGACTGACAGCAACTACTTACAATTGGACAGATAGCTGCGCGGAAAGTCGTGACGCAGCAGCTCCTTGGCCAGCTGGCAGCGTGTCAGCAGCTTGGACTGCGTCGCCGACAGCGACAGCAGCAGGATCAGGCTCAGGCTCAGGACAATGGCGTTCGATTTGCTGCACCGTTCAGCCATTTGTTTAACTCTAGACTATCGATTCTTACAGATGGACCGACTGACTGACCGACTGATTGACCGACTGACTGACTGATTGATTGGTCGTTTGGGTGCCTGGACCACTTTAATCGTAAAGCGCTTCCGCAGCAACTGCCAAACTACAACTAAACACGCGTAGCGCCCGAAATCGGACCTTTTAAAGCCTCGCACGCAGTTTTATTGCTGGACAAATTGGCACACATACGACACACAACAATAACAAGATCAAACAGCTGGGCTTGGGCCTGACGAAGATTGAATACCCTTACGCAAATTCCTAAAGTGAAAATATCAAAAGGGCTCTCTTTGGCAATGAAAACTTGATCCAGTTAATGACTTTCAGTGGCACGAGCATTAAAGGAATTTATAGATAGAATTTCGAACTCTTGTCTCTCTGGGATTAACAAGACATGTTTTATAACTCCGGCTCAGCAAATATATTAAGATGCCTAGAAACCTTTTGTGGGCTCTTCGAACCGAGAAGGTGGAAAACCTATCAGTATTATTATAGGTCCTACACCTATCAATCTAACATATTTGGAATAGAGCAAGCTAAGACAAGAATTTCTTCAATTGCCTAAACTACTATTCAATTATTACTGGCTATTAGAGCTTTCAGCTAGCACTCTGCTACATTCAAGCTCTAGTCTAGGATCCGAACCGGCGACATCTCTTTTCTTGTCTAAGGAACAAGCTCACTATTTGTTATTGTTCTTATTACTGACAGTCATATTTCATACTATATGCGAGCATTAGCTTGGGATTCGAGCCAGTGACTTCTCTAATTTCTTTATCAAGACACTGGCTCACGAATTGTTTGTTTTTTTTATTACAAAAAGGCAGATTTTACGACAAAATCATAATAGTACAATACATTGAAACAATAGGATCGGATTCGAGCCAGCGACCTCTCTATTTTTTTGTTTAAGGACCTTCTTGTTGTTTTTATTACGGATAGACATATTGCATGACTAAATCATCACACTACATGTAGGAACAAGGCTAGATTCGAACCAGCGACCGCTATATTTTTTTTTGGCTAACGAACAAGCTGCCTTATGGTTGTTTTTATTACTGATAGATATATTTAGTTCAAACCTTGACGCGGATTTGAACCAGCGACCTCTCTTGTTGTTTTAATTACAAATAGATATATATTAAATGCAATAACTAGCGTAGGATTCGAACCAGCGACCTCTTTATAAATTTTATTATTATATTATTATTATTATTACTGATAGACATGTTTCATGCCACAATCAACATATCACTTCATTAGTGTAGCATTAGAACAAGTTCAATTAGCATGCGGGGGCAACGTCATCAGCAACAACAACAACAACAACAACAACAACAAAAACAACAAAAACAACAAGAACAACAATAACAACTGCAACAACAATGTCACATGAACGGTTATTGCGTTGCTTTCGCTTTCAGCTGTGGAAAGAGATGGCGTGAAAATTGGGAAATGTGTGTGTTCGGCCGTTGAATCGATGTCACGTCGCCGTAGCCTATTTGTCTATTTATGCGAGCGTTACAAAAGTATCTCAGACAATAAATCGCACGCCTTTGATTGCGTTAAGCGCTAAATTGGCAAATTGTCTTGCACAGATGCATATCTTGGAATGTATCTCTGACTATCGCCCCGTATCTGTATTTGTAGCTCGGCCTGCAGCTGTATCTGTGTAAGTTTATCTCGGGCTGTGTCTGCGCTGCTTGACCTAAAAAACCAAAACGCACAATTCCAATTCTTCCACTTATGCTCTATGCAAATGCAATTTCACAAATACATTTGTCAACAACATCAACAACAACAACAACAACAACTAAATATGAAAAAAGTTTCCATGAGCTAACGAAATTTTTCCATTTCAGCTGCCTGCTGCTGGCTCTTTCGCTGGCCACAGCCAACCAGCTGAAGGATCTGCTGGAGGATGCCACCCCCAGCAGCACCACTCCCGCCAGCAGCACCTCGTCCACAGCCACTACAGTCAGCGCCTATGTTATATCGGCTGCGGCTGTGTCCGCCTATAATGCCGTCACGCCCAAGTCCAAGTCGAAGATGGCGACGGGCAAATACTTTAACAAGAGCTCGCCCAAGAAGCGCAAGGCCGAGGAGGTCTCCTCGCTGCCGCTGCCCGTGGACACCGATGGCCTGCTCGAGTGGAAGTGCCCCAACATTTCGGGCACACGCAACGCTGAGCTCGAGTGCGGCTGCGATCTGCCCCACACGCTGCGCTGCAACATCGATCTGCATGGACTTTTGGTGAGTAGACCCCAGCCAGGGCTGATTTCCTTAGATCATAGATCATCCAGAGCTCAGAGAATACAGGAGACATTTTTCTATTGGGTGGAAAAGGGGTTTCTCGTTAGTAGACCTAACCCAGGGCAGGTTTGTTTGCAATAAAGATCATCCGATAGTCAGAGATTAAGAAAAGCTTATGTATATAGACAACTTGATTTCATTAGTAGCTTTGCGTCTTTGATGTCAGAGCTAGTAAAAATGTAATCTTAAAAGAATCTTTCTGTAAGTTTTAAGCTAATCCTTCTCAAAAGAACAAAGAATAATGCTTCCCTTGCCCCCTAGATTAGGTACAGGGCTTAAACCAATGCGACGCCTTAAGGTCTCACACAGTTAAATAAGTATTTTCATAATTAAGGTCTTAACCAACCTTAGTATAGAGCGAAGATTTTTCTTCCGAGGGAAGCAATATGTTTGATTTCCAAGTTAGATCCAGTTCCATTTTCATCAGTTGTATAATCGAGTTCTTTTCGATATTCCTTTACCCACAGCTGCTGGCGGACAGGTTACGTAGTTCGCCCTATTCCATCTCGTTGCTGGACTGCTCGCTGCGCAACGTGACCTTCCTGAGCGACGCCAAGATATTCGATGGCATCTCGCTGCACGGCCTGGTCATCTCTTCCGGCGAGATCAAGCGTGTGCACAAGTCCGCATTTCTGGGCATCAAGGGACCGCTGCAGGCCTTGGGTCTGCCGGGCAATGCGCTGCTCAGCGTGCCCTGGAATGCGCTGTCCACGCTGAGCACGCTGGAGCGCCTGGACTTGGCCAACAACAAGATCAAGGCGCTGGGCACGGCTGATTTTGTGGGCCTGAGCAATCTGGTGTATCTGGAGCTGAGCAGCAATCAGATCTCGAGCATATCGCAGCGTACCTTCAGCAGCCTGCGCAAGCTGGAGGTGCTCAAGCTGGGCGGCAATCGGCTGGGCGACTATGCGCAGAGCCTGAAGGCGCTGAGCCAGTGCCTGAGCCTGCGCCAGCTGGATCTGACGGCCAACAATCTGAATGGTCCGCTCAGCGAACAGACGCTGCCGGGCCTGCGCAACCTCGAGAATCTGAATCTCAATCGGAACATGATCAAGAGCATACAGAACAAGGCGCTGGCAAACTTTTCGCGCCTGGTTAGCCTCTCGCTGCGCCACAATCAGATCGATGTGCTGCAGGATCACGCCTTCTATGGCCTCGGCGCCCTGGACAGTCTGGATCTTAGTTACAATGGCATTGTGGCTATCTCCAGCGCCTCGCTGCAGCATCTCACGCGCCTCACGATGCTCGATCTGACGCACAACTTTCTGCGCGCACTCACCTCGGATCTGATTGCGCCGCTGCCCTCGCTGCGTGAGCTGCGTCTGGCCGGCAATGACATCTCCATTGTGGCACGGAATGCCATGGACCGGGCACAGGAGCTGCAGAGCCTGCAGATGCAGGATAATCCGTTGTCCTGTGACTGCAGCATACGACCCTTTGCCGAATGGCTGCAGGTCTCCAAGCTGTCGTCCAGCCTGAGCGCGTCTTGCGTGACGCCGCCGCGTCTGGAAGGCGCCCCGCTGCTGCAGGTGCCCGTCGAGACGCTCACTTGCGACATGGACAATGTGGAGAAGGACAATGCCAATATAATGGAGCATCTGGAAACGCTGGCCAAGCCCAATCAAACCTCAGCCCACGTCAAGGACTTGTCGGAGGAGGTATACTATCCCAGCAGCTCTCTCTCTCTAATGGAAATTCAAATTTAATCCCATTTTTCGCACCATAGATTATTCTGCACGAACTGCACTACTCTGCGGATTATGGCCTTATATTGACCTGGCTGCTAAATCTCAGTAAGAAGGATTACATGTGCGATGCCATATTCGTGTACAAGGAGGAAAACATCAATGAGATACTCATAGACAATTCACCCGTAAGTAAATGGAACTAGAGTTCAAACGCGTTTTAAATATTGGAACAATTATTTCGATCGAGCGAGCTTCAAACTCGAATCGCTTCGAACATGTTGTTACAACCAGCTGCTCGAACTTCGTTTTTATGAATCGTTCGAGTCTGTCGTTCTAATCAATTGAGTAAGCGAGTTTGATGTACATGAATTAACCAACCCAGGACTCTAATGCGAACTTTGATCTAATCGAAAATCAATTCTCTCTATCCGTAGATCCACTGTGAGAGCAAGGTCGTCAATGGTCAGAACACTGTGAGCGTCATAGTGCCCGATAGCTCATCCCTGGACATAGGCGAGAGGTGTGTGACATACTTTGAATATATATCCCCACACGTTTCTTATAATTCGCTTTGCTTTGCAGCTACCGCTTCTGCCTGGTCATGGTGCAGGAGCAGAATCCAAAGGCAGAGCTTAACATTGGCTGCTCGAACATAACCCAGCTGCAGCTGAGCAGTCCCGGCGCATTGCCCGTGCTGCGCCAGTATCAGCGTCGTCCGTACTACACGCCGCATGAGCTGGAGTCGGAGCATTTGGCGTCTGGCGAGGATTATCCATTGAATAAGCGACAATTCAACAGCATTGCGGGCAGCCAGCAGAAAATGCATCCGCAGCAGCCGGCTTCCGTGCCGCCGTCGCCAACGCTGATGCACAGCTACAATGTCATCGATTCGCTGAACAAGAGTTTTCTGCCCGGTTTGGGTCTGGGCATCCTGGTCACTTCCGTGGTCGTCTTGATTTGGGGCGCCACACGCATACGTCAGAGCGTGGCCGTCAGCGCCGGCGCCGGCGATGTTAGTCTCAGCAGCAGCAACAGCAACAGCATGCAGCACCACAACAACAACAACAACAACAACCACAGCAGCGGCAACAGCAGCAGACCGGGCACGCCCACAGCGACCACCTGCTATGCCGCCTCGGATCACATAGCTCGGATGGCGGATGCCGAGAACGGGACGCGTTACCTCAAACTGCAGGCAACGACGAGCCTGTAAAGGGCGACCCGCACTCAGCCAATCAACCAATCGCTGGAATCTTGTGATAGTACAAGCACTTGTACCCGATATACCCTAAGACATATGTAGAGTAGTTGCTTATAAGGACGAGCCGCTGTTAGGGCTCCTGCACTAATCCAAATACTTGGCCTAACACTAACCAAACTGTGCCATAAACTAACCCACACAAGCAAGTCTCTCTCCTCAAGCTATTATTGCACATTTACTATAAAATTCTAAGAGGAATTATCTATATATATTTCCCTCTCCATACTTAACTTTATGCCCTTGCAGATAGTTTATGTATTCTTGATCTGGAATAAAATGTCTGCAAGGGTATTTGGAATTCGGCACTCCGCAGCGAACTATTCTCCCTTGCTGTATACTAATCGTAACAAGTTTGTTAGAAGTAGAATTAAATATTTACGACGCCTCTGTCCCTAATGTTAGCCTCTAGCCCTAAGAAATTGTAAGTCATGACCCTAGGCATAAGGCTTTAATAATTTATTAACCACATACCAAGCACACACAAAATAAATTATAAGTAAGCAACAGGATAAATAAATGTTGAAAGTACCAGAATAATCAAAATAAACACACACAATGCAGTCCATACAAATTGTTTTTAAATGCTTCTGTGGGCGGAGTTCGATAGCGGTGCATAAAACAACAAGTAAGACGTTCTAGTCGGGAGCTCCCGACTAGGGGATACCCTGAACCCTCTTCTTCCAACATCAAATGCAAATATATATACTATTCTAGAAGCTACATGTCAAGTTTGGTGATTCTAGCTCTTATTATTTACAAAGATTGCCCAAAAACAGGATATCGATATCGATTTTTATCGATAACTTGGAAACGGAGTAAGTTATCGATTATCGGAAACAAACTCGATCTGCGCAGGCACTAGGAGCACATACGTTATTCATTTCAAGTCTCTAGCTCTTATAGGTTCTGAGATCCATGAGATACGGACAGACGCACAGACGGACGGACACAGATGGACATTATACCCATTTTTAATGGGTCCAGGGTATAAAAACAAAAAATCGAAACATTCATAAGGTCAGCCATTTGGTATTGTACTATTTATATACAAATATAGTATGTGAACGCATAATGTTAAGTGGGATATTAACATGCATATGACGTCACAGCACGCCCAGCTTTCAGCTGAATTAAACAATTAGACATGCAATGAGTTCATAGCCGGAGCTCCCAAAGGATTTGGGTACACGCCGGAAAATTAGCGTAAGAAAGCAAACATGATAATCGGGATTCAAGGAGGAGCGTTTCAGTCTAGTTGGCACTGTTTATTGGCTGTCGCTCGCCAAGAAATCAAAGTTGGCTCAGCGCTGCTCAAACATTGTTATACCCTGTACTCATTGAAAGTGCGGTACATAGCTATGTGCGTGCGTTTGCCATGCCTTACTCAGATCAAGTTTATTTCAAGTTATAGATAAAAACTCCCCCAATAAATGTCGATTAACAATATAGATTCCTGGAGCATAGCTCAGAGAATAGAAAAATTATAGACATAATCGGTATGCCGATTCTCTGCGCACACTCTTTACAATTTTGACATTAAAATGAATTTATAGAAGTATAAAATATTATATGAAATCACAAGATTTATAACAAGAAAGAAGGGTTCGGCACGCCGAAGTTTTAATAACCGAATCTTTTCATAATGCTCACAATGCTTTGCTCGTATCTAAGAAGCACAAGGAAATAGTTAATGCCGAGTATGGTTAAGATATTTCGATAAACAACAAGTTTTTCATACAAGAAACTAATTTGCGACCGAACGCTCCTATGGCAGCTATATTGTATAGTGATTCGATGTAAAAAAGATTTTGCATACATGTAGAGAGCATAGTAAAACTTATAAATCTCGAGTTGAGTCAAGATATCTTGATAAACAAATAAGTTGTTCATACAAGAACCTACTTTTTGACCGATTGTTTCAATGGCAGCTATATGATATAGTGGTCTGATATATGTAAAATTTTATGACGAAAACTGAGACTAGTTCGCAGACAGACTATATCGACTCGGCTGTTGATACCGATCAAGAATATATATATATATATACTTAATGGGATCGTGAGGTCTCCTTCTATGCGTTACACATTTCGAGACAAATTATAATTTGTGCATACATAATTATTTGGAAGTTAGGGAACAACACGAAGCTGTTTACAGGGTGTGCTCTAGTCGGTCAGTCCCAACATTATCACGCTTACCTTCTTGTTTTTGCTGCAGTCTATTTGTGTTGTGGTCATCGCTGATATGGCGACGCGCTGGCCCTCATTTGCCTAACGGCCAGGCGTCCTCGCGCTGGTTGCGCGCGCTGTCAGTTTGGCGACAACAATGAGCACGGCCAGAACGACGACCACGCTGAGCACGGGCAGGACGACACGCTAGCCTTTATCGATTTTCGGAGGACACACTCATTGGAGAGCCTTGTGCGTGTTTGCAAATCAAAAATTGGCCCACACACGCACAGTCGGTGGTCGGGTCCGGTGCCGCATTGATTGGCAGCTGGGAGAGCTGGGCGTCTGCGCCTTCTGCGCGGCCTCCTTACAACGGCCTACACATGAGCATGCTGGGCTTTGTCTATTTGGTGCTCATACTGGGCTGGATATTGATCGTGTTGTTTCTCAAGTGCAAAAAGTCGCTGTCGGCGCCATTTCGCTTCGGCGAGAACTATACGGATGCCATTGCGGAGACGAACGTCGAGCGTCGTCCCTCGGTGCATGTGATCCAGCTGCAGAGCGAGGATATCGAGCAGGAGGATCACTATATGAACAATTTTCATCGGCAGTCGGACAATTTGCAGCGCTACTCTCATCGATCCACGCTCGAGGAGCGCGCCATTGAGCGCACATATCCCACGGATGCGGTCATTAATCCCGCCTACCTGCACGACGAGGATTATGTGATTAATGGTGAGTGTGTAAATAAGTTCTAATTAAATGTAATTAAATTATAATTTACCTACTGCAGCGCCGCCGCCATCCTATGAGGAGGTAATGCGCCAGCCGCAGGTCTATCCGCAGGTGCGCCACAATAATCATAAGATTAGCGATTTAAGCATTTGAGCTTGAGCTAAAACTAGGCTATCTAAATTAGGCTAACTCTGTACATATGTAGTTTTTGTCAGCTGTGATTTCTCATATTTAAATATATATATATATGTTTGTATCTATATACATTCAGTTACTACAAATTACAAATTAATGCGTATTTCATATATTTATTTGTTGAGGGGCCATGACAACAAAATCAATTCAATTGATTCTACAATTGCCGCCATCGCATTAGCAATAACATTAATTATACACATATAGAAAATGTACAAAATGATTTTACATATGATTACAAACAAACAATCAGTCAAAGTGTGTGTGTGTGTGTGTTTGTGTGAGTGTGTGTTAAGTTGTAAATAAATAATATGATGAAAGTGTGTCGTACAAAATAAACCGAGAAAAAAACATAAAAACAAACTAAACTAAATATGCATAAACATATATACATGTATGTATACATGTGTGAGTGTGTGTGCGTCTGTGTGTTAAAATACATATATATATATATATAGATAGATATTGTTGGCATTTGGCTAAATTAAGTCACTAAATTCGATACACATTTACATAGTATGCATAAAGAATTGTGTCTTGGCTCAAAATATACACAGAGTTCTAATGACTTGAGTTGAGTTTCTGTTTTTGTTTTTTGTTTTTGGCCCAATTCCTTTTTTGGCTACATGTGTTGCGTTCTTTTATGCGAGCACCTTGTGCACGCTGTGCATTTGTATGAACGCCTCCAGCTGGGTGGGTATCAGGCCTCTAAAGTTCAGCCTGTTGGTGGCGATGGAGCGTGCCGCCAGGCACTTGAGGCTCGTGTGCGCATTCTGATGTCCATGCAGCAGATTGGCCAAGTTAGCTGCAACCAAATACAAACACTTATTATTGCATATACTATATAAATATATTAAATGCGAGTTTACCCTGCTTGCAGGCCGCAGCTGCCGTTTGACCCGCCGCATTCACCGCATCCAAGTGCGCGCCCGCCTCCACAAATAGCTGTAAAATGCGCGCCATCTCGCCTTGGCGATCCTGTGAGCTGTTTATCTTGGTCACCAGTATGTGAAGTGGCGTGTTCCTTGCGGCGTCCACAGCCACAACCGAGGCGCCACAGTGCACCAAGACCAGGGCGGTTGCATAGCAGGGAAATCTAACAAAATATATAAAAAAACAGATTAGACACAAGCTCTAAGCTATCCAAACTTGTACGCACTTGCACATTTCGTTGGTATAGAACTCATCGACGGGCGTGACACCGTTCACGGCGAGATGCAGCAGCGTTTGGCCATCCTGGAGGCGCGTGTCGTGCTGTATGAATTTGCGCACAACTAGAAATAGCTGCTGTATCTGCTCCTCATTGATGTCCTGATCCTTCTTGCGTCGGGCCAGCTGTGTGACTATTTTAATTAAATACAACGCTGTGATGCAATTCTGATTGTTCTGATCCTGCAACAGACTGACGCACGTGTTGGGCTTATCGTTCAGCATTTTCAGCTTGTTGTTATCTATCTCCTGCTGGCACTTGATCAGCACGGGCAGCACATTGTCCAATGTCAGGCGATGATTCTCGACGCGCAGTATTTGCGCAAAGAGCTGCGCAAAACGCAGCAAATCACGATCCACGCTAACCTGCAAAAATGGATTCAATTGATTAAAGCGTTGAAGTTATTCAAATGGGCAAGGCTCTGGCCTTTGGTTCGTCTACTCACATTGTTGCGCATACGCAGATCGATGGCATAGTTCCACAGCACCTGGCACTGCTCGAAGCGGCCCTGGTCGGCCATTACGGCGCCGCGATAGACAATGGCTTGCGGCAGCTCCGGATTGTTTTTGCCCAGTATGCGCTCGCGTATGGCCAGCGATTCCATGTGTATGGAGTGATGATTCAGCTTGATGGCATTCAGTTCGGGCAGATTTTCAGTCTCGAACCAGCTGTCGTAGGCGGGCACCGGCTGTTGCACCTTTTTGCGCACCACATGCCGCGGATCGCTGTAGCGCAGCTGCATGGCGCGCATCAGGTAGCTGTAGGCGCGATTCACATCGTATTTGGTCTTGTCGTTGGCATACGTGGCGCCCAGCAGCTCCAGTGCTGTGATTTGCTCCTCCTTGCTCATCAGATCCGGACGCTGAATGAAAGCCTCGACAACATCCTCGTGCAGCCGTTCGGCCGCCTGCAGTGCTGGCGTAATGCCCGCCTCGTTCTTTTGCAGTGTTGCGCCATGATCGAGCAGCGCTATAACCACATCCAGATGACCGCTCTCGGCGGCATAGTGCAGCGCCGTTGCACCGCACAGCGCCTGATCGTTTGGCCGCGAACCGTTCTGCAGCAGCGTGTTCACGACCAGATGGTGGCCCTTGTAGGCGGCAATCATGAGCGTATTGTTGTTAAACAAATTGGTTGCATTCACATCGGCGCCATGCTCTAGCAAAAACTCCACAATATCCAGGCGA